TTTAATAATATAATATGTTTAATAATATGTATTTATATTAATATATATTTATATTAAAATATTAATACTTAAATCAGCTTAATGTTTGTTTAATAACTATAATAATTACAATGTATTAGTTCAGTTTTTGTAATTTTAATTTAAACATTTTGATATTTTTTCTTTCTAATATAGACATGAAATGAAAGAAATACAACTACAATAATGACATGCTAATTTGATTACTTACATCAACTACAATTTGTAATTATTTATTTAACAAAAATAATGCGATAACATTAATAATTTAGATACACTTCCCCTTTTCATATATTTTTATGTACTCACCTCTTCACTTCTATTTGATGCTGTACGATATTAGCCAGTAATATTGCGACAGCTCGATCGTTAGAATTCGATATGTTGTTGAGATTCTGCAGTTTGCCCATTATAATGCTTAATTGTCCACAAACGTGCATAATAAAAAATGCGGCCAAACCGGCCGCACTCACTCTTGTCGAATAGGTAATTACTCCTGCGAAGGCTTGCAGAGTATAAACGATCTCGTACGCTGGTGATACTCGTCCATCGAATTTAATGAAGTAACTCGGCAATGCCAGCGGTCTTACCGTGATGTTTTCCGGTGTGAGCATACGACCCTTCAAAATTGGCATGAGTATTCGATAACATAGTCCACCGGTATACATAAAGGCGGCAGAAAAAATCGCGAACTTTCGGCCTACTCTCGCTGCGGACAGCATCGCTTTCCGATCGCTTCCATCAACTGTATTGCTCCAATCCTGATGCGCCCGATTCAGGCAAGATTGAATCTTCTTTGCATGGTTAAGTATCATGAAGTACTTTATCCAACTCATCGAAGCATTCACAATCGGCGCAAGCAGTCTGACTCTACGTTTGAATTCGTGTTCCTTTAGAAATACTTGTAGAAGACTCGGCACAATGATGAACCCGAATAAAAAGTGGCAAATGACATTTTGAAAACGGGTCGCAATTCTTTCCATATTGGAGACATAATTTGGACTCGGCCACGCGCCGATTGATCGCAGAATAATACGAGTCACTTGTATGGCGTAATCGAAATCGTTATCGCGTTTGCTCATAGTTGATGAGCTTTTCATTATTAGCTTTAATCAATACTTTTTCTTTTTTTTCACGATTAATTGAATTCTCGATCGCAAATTTTGAATTTTATTTATATTGTTACTCTTCTGACACTAAGAATTTCCGTTAATTTTGTAGCGTTTTGGGGTTTACAAGTGACAGATGGTTAGGCGAGACTAAATGTTATAATATAACTGGACAGATGTGTTGATAGATAGTCTCCCTTTCTGTGGTAAGAGCAAAAAGTGTAAAGCGCGCTTGCGTGCATTAAACGTCTGCGCATAATGATGGGGTTACACGATAGGGGTTGACGAAATTATCGAATAAATGCAATTGATATTGATGGATAAAGAGAGGTTCGCCATGCGATACATGACATTGTAACTTTCAAACTCACGAATGTGAAAGGATAAGGTCAAGTGTTGTTTTATGTGCTGCATATTACTGTGTACGTTAATAGAATGTCATGTAAGTACAAATAAATATTGAAATACTATTCTATGCATACATTACCCTCACAATAAAGAGTTAATTGATATAAAAGTACGCTTGATAAGTTGTAAATGTGAAAGATGTAATAATAACATAAATACGAAAG